CCACATATTAACATTGTCAAGATTACGACCCTGACTGACCATCGGTCACTTTCAGCAGGCGAGGGTGAGAAATGACCAACAAAGAGAGCGACAGGACGAAAGAAAGTGAGATAGGGCGTAAAAAAGACGAGTAAAGGGGGAAAGGAGAGGGGAGGGGGAGGGGGTGCAATGGGTCAAAGTTGGTGGCGGTATGAGTGAAGGGTGAAAGACATGAAGGGTGAGACATACTTTAAAATTAAAATTCCGATGGCCTTGAATGCGGACAGCGAAGGAGAAGAAGAAGACGTTACTTCATTTTTCATGAATAAATCATCACTTTTCGACCACTCGTATGTCCAGAACGGCTTGACCGATTTTTAATTTTTTTTTTTTAAATTACTCGTGACGATGCCTCCTTCAAAATAGTTACGTCCGATTCAAAATTTTTTATATTTTATTAGTTACGCAATCTCCAAAAATGGACTTTGGTGGTACAGGATAAGAGACTTGTAGTGCCTCTTATCTCTTATTTTTGATTTTTGAACATGGCCGGAGCCACTACCGCGTCTTCTGATTAGTAATTCAAGATTGAATTATTTAAAGCAACGAAGATCCAGCTCCGACCGTAATAGGCAGTTACATTCTAGTATTAATTGAGTTTCTCAAATATACGGTCAAAAAATATAAATATATTGTTTAGATTACGTCGCCTGAAAGAAAGACGTTGTTTCCTTAGTATATTATTGCGAAGAATATTACTAAGGCCTCGGTAGTCTAACGGCTCAGGATGCTCGTACGGTTTACAAGAGATCCGGGTTCAAATCCCGGCCGAGGTAATATTTTTCGCAATAAATTTATTAATAGTTTTTATAGATTAACATCTTTATAATATATGATGCTTGATGGTAGCATCAAATTATTAAAATTGCTTGTCAATTTAATTCGCGATTACTAGAGTAGTTTTAATTGCGTTTATTTAGTCCGGAAAAACAATTCGGGGCGCAGTTTGAAAAAAGACTACTGTTCCATAGGATTCAGCACAATTTAATAATGAGTTATTCTTGCACTGTCTTTCCGTATTTATTGTTTGGTAACACAAGTAATTTCTTTATTACGCATTACATTGAACTGTTCGCATTAATATACCGCAAAATGTTACGACGAATATCGTTCGTATTATCACGACGCACTATATCACGACGAGTATCGTTCGTTTGCATAAAGTTCGATTCACTGATATCGACGACGCCTAGGAGCTAATGCCCTGAGTCGATCAATGAAGACGTTTAAGGGCTATTGCCCTAATATGTAAGTTTGGTACGGAACTCGCGACGACGCCTAGAGAGAATATCTCTTGAGTCGCGATCGGCTCGAATGACACGGCTACGTAGAGAGAAAATGAATTTTTGAACCGTATTCTACCACGATCGCGAGCTGATTACCCGACGGGTACCGGTGTAACAATCACGACGCGATGGTAGGGATCGCACCCCCATCCGAAAACAGATCCTAATTGGTCGTTCGCGGATCACCTCATAGGAAGCACGAACGCACGAGAAACCCCCTCGCGACAGTCCGGCGCCGTGAAACCCGCTTTTCTTTGTTGTTGCCGATGGCTAATACTTGTTAGTCTATAATTACATGTGTGCCTTGTGTCAAATGCCGCCGTACCAAATATACCGCGTATCGTCATGCATGACATACCAGCCTTGATACGCAACATACTCCACCCGTTGAGAGTGTAGCGATCAACGTATTAGGTAATTAAGACTAGTCTTTGTTTTTACGAATTAAATTGTGAAATCGCAATCGTGGAATATAGGTGACAATTATGCGCATCGTCATAAGCATGTCCACGACAACGCCTAGGGGCAACGGCCCTGAGTCGATGGACAATGCTTAATGACTATTGTCACCTTTGATAATGTATGATGATCTTACAATGTGCGTGTGTGTCACGCGATCATCGTTCTATGGGTACAGGACAAAGAGACCTTGTGGCTCTTTTCACTTCCCCGGTTGCAGTTTTGATGGTGGCAGCTCTAGTGATTCCGTCTTCGCCGGGATGTACTGCGACAATTCTGCCAAAAATCCATTGGTTGCACGCCAAGCCTTTGTCCTTTATAAGGACTATAGTCCCGATTTCGAGATTTGGTCCGTCCTTGATCCACTTATTGCGGATTTGGAGCTCATTGAGATATTCCAAACTCCAGCGTGTCCAAAAATGTTGACGGACCCTTGTAATGTGTTGCCAGGTAGATATGCGATTAACTGGAACAGAGGTCACATCGGACTCCGGCGGAGCGATTAAAGGTTTGCCAATCATGTAGTGAGCCGGGATTAGAACGAGCATGTCACTCGGATCGGACGAAAGGGAAGTGATGGGTCTGGAATTTAGAATGCCCTCGACTTCAATGATGAAGGTGTTCAATTCCTCGAAAGTAAATAATGAATCTCCTACTACTCGTTTAAGATGATGCTTGAAGAGCTTCACCATAGCTTCCCATATTCCACCAAAATGTGGAGCTCTTGGTGGTATAAAATGCCAGATGATGCGTTGTTCGCCAGCGAATCGGTCTACAACGTCTCTATGTGTTTGGGAATTAAACAAAGCACACAGTTCTTTCAATTCATTATTCGCGCCCACAAAATTTGTTCCGTTGTCGGAGTAAATGTGTGCGGGAAGCCCTTTTTTTTTTTTTTTTTTTTTTTTGATAACGGAGGGGAAATGCCTAACGCATACCCCGGGCCTCGGGGGAAGCCCTCGTCTTGAAACAAACCGACGCAATGCCGCTAAAAATCCTTCGGATGACAAGTCGCTCACAAGTTCAAAATGCGCAGCTTTAATCGACAAACATACAAACATGCAAACATATACTTTAATTCGGATTCGATTACGGTATTTTTTCTCTTTAATGTGAAAAGGCCCGCAGAAGTCGATGCCTGTGTGAGCGAATGGAATCGTCTCTCGTACGCGAGCCGGAGGAAGGTTTCCTATTTTATACTCAACGCTTTTAGCATCAAATCGGAAACAGCGCATGCACGATCGTACAATTTTTCGGATTTGGTTTCGACCGTCGAGTATCCAAAAACGACGACGCATGATATAAAGGGTGGTCTGAATACCGATGTGATGGTATTTCTCGTGTATTTCCCGAATAATGGAGTCGGTTAAACGATGTCGGCTCGGAAGTAAAATGGGATGTTTTTGCGAATAAGAGAGATTGGATGCTTGGAGGCGTCCTCCCACGCGAATCAAACCGCGATCATCAAGAAACGGGTTTAAATTAACAATTCTGCCCTTGGTTATCGACTTTTTGTTTTTCAACTCTCTGATCTCGTTGGAAAAACAGGCTGCTTGTAAGAGCCTTAAAATTCGAATTTCGGCTTCATCGATTTCTTTCGGGCATAATGACATGGAAATGTAATGTCCACCGGTCGGTCGAAAGCGAAGACATTAGGCTACTATTCGACACAATTTGCTGTAGGAAGAGAATTTATCAATTATATCGAAGTTATTACTAGTGGTTATCAAACAAACGTTTCGTTTTAATTCTTGTGTTTCTAAATCTGTCAAATAACATGTAGATTTTAATGAGATTCGTGATAAGGCGCCTCCGGCGATGACCCATCCGAGACGCGTTTTCTGCAAATATAAATCACGGCCCTCCCGCTATAGGTTAATCTGACCCACTGACAATAATGATAAAGTGGCCCCTGAACCGATTAGTAAATCAATGGATCGTGAAATGTGAAATTCCGGATCCGCCAGGTTGATATTTGACGGTATTTCTATTGCATTTCTTGGAAAGGATTCAGAGGGAATCGAGTCCGCGATGGATGGTATAACTAAACATGTCAGAGTCTTAGTAAAGTCGTCGCGAGTTGATTGTATTGTGATTTGCACTATGCCTTTGGAACTTGTATTTGTGTCGTTTATCGAAACGACTGGTGACGAATGATCCATCACCTTTACGTCTAAACGACGTAGAATCGCTTCCGCAATGAAGTTTGCAGAAGCACATGTGTCCAAGAGAGCACGGCATTTGATGAGATGTCCGCGATCCCGAATGTAAACTATCGCGCTTGTTAATAGCTGGGGTGCGTACGACACGGTAGCGAGACTTATTTGCTTGTCGCACGACGGATATTCTAGTCATGCAGATTTACTGCTTGTCGCTTCTGCGTTCGGTGTTTGAGACGAATTCGCGTTCATAGGCTTGTCGAAATGTAATAGCGTATTGTGCCGCTTCTGACGGATGGTACAATTTGAGAATTTACAAGGTGTGTCCCGATGGGATCGTAAACAGTTGTAGCAAACTCTTGCGCTTCTTACTACTTCGATACACTTGGGTATGGGTAATTGTCTAAATTTATTACATTGGTAAAGAGAATGCCGTTTGACCTTGCAAGCGACACAATTGCGAGACGCGACCGAAACGAATGCCTGGTTAGATGAAAGCATTCGCTTCTTCTTTTGTGAGGGCTCCCCTTTACCTTTCTCGGAATCTAATATTTTTGATTTTTCGCGTCTCGAGGCACAGACCGCCGACTTGTACAGGAATTCATACATTTGTTCTAGTTTCAGAAACTCGTCTCTCTCAAGAGTCGCCTCCCACTTATCTAATGCACTCCTCGGCAGCTTGGTCTCGAGAATATGAAGAACTATTTCAGGTCCGACGGAAACGCTTAACGTAGTTAATGATGCTAGATGTTGCTGAGTGTCATCCGCGAGTTTTGACAAACCACTAGTTGTCTCCTTGTCCAGCGGAGGTAAATTTAAGATCAAGGAAAGATGCCGCGAAATCAAAACCCGTTTTACTTCATACGACCGTTCCAGAATCTCCCATGCCTTTAAATAATTTATGCCGTCAACTTCGAAAATTTTTATTTTATTCGCGGCTTCTCCGATTAATGCAGCCTTTAAGTAATGAAGTTTGTCTATATCGGAAAGATCTGTTTGGGAACCGATCATACTACTAAACGTGTTCTTAAATGATAGCCACTTTTCGAACGTTCCGTCGAAAGTAGGCAGAGGAGCCTCGGGTAGTTTGATTCGTCGCCTCTTTGTGGATACAGTAGGCTCGTCAACGATACTCTGAGCTTCGCTGCTCGACGCACTAATACTCGATGTATTTACTGGATTCAACATGTTCTCGATTTTACCCGCTAGAGCATAGAAGCGCTCTTGTATGCTTGTAAATTCTTCTTCGTGTGCATCGTTCGGATCTAATATTACGAGCTCATCGTGATGCTCCTCGAACGTGTGATAGAGTTTGGTAAGACGCGCGATTCGTAATTTTATCGTGACATTGTCTAAACTACGTTTCTCGAGGGCATTCGTGAGATTCGTTGTTTGAGATTTCAACGATGTCCGCTTTTGCAGAAGAAATTTAATTCTGTCAGTCATGGTAAGGATTCGAATAGGATTGGAACGAATGACTTACTTGCTCGGCGAGTTGCCGATACGTCCTGGTTTAATCGCACTTGCTGGCACCGCGTGCTTCCACAGGCGGATGCGTAATACTGTAGATCTGCCACAATTATTGACCTGAGTTCCTGGAGATCCTTGAATGGCTGGCCGTGTTGATGACACTTGGAAGATAAGTTGTAGTCCATACCTCACAGGAGACACCATAAATGTTCCATAGGATTCAGCACAATTTAATAATGAGTTATTCTTGCACTGTCTTTCCGTATTTATTGTTTGGTAACACAAGTAATTTCTTTATTACGCATTACATTGAACTGTTCGCATTAATATACCGCAAAATGTTACGACGAATATCGTTCGTATTATCACGACGCACTATATCACGACGAGTATCGTTCGTTTGCATAAAGTTCGATTCACTGATATCGACGACGCCTAGACAGAATATCTCTTGAGTCGCGATCGGCTCGAATGACACGACTACGTAGAGAGAAAATGAATTTTTGAACCGTATTCTACCACGATCGCGAGCTGATTACCCGACGGGTACCTGTGTAACAATCACGACGCGATGGTGGGGATCACACCCCCATCCGAAAACAGATCCTAATTGGTCGTTCGCGGATCACCTCATAGGAAGCACGAACGCACGAGAAACCCCCTCGCGACAGTCCGGCGCCGTGAAACCCGCTTTTCTTTGTTGTTGCCGATGGCTAATACTTGTTAGTCTATAATTACATGTGTGCCTTGTGTCAAATGCCGCCGTACCAAATATACCGCGTATCGTCATGCATGACATACCAGCCTTGATACGCAACA